ACACCGATTTTTTAGTCGAAATTCATGTCAAAATCTTACCCCAAGATTCGTATATAGACATGGGTCAAAATTTACCACCCCCATATCTCGGCCAAATCTCATCCGATTTTCACGAAGTTTGGTTTTTTCTTTATGGTTTTCCCTCTAGATTAATCTGGCATTCAAATCTGAACACCGATTTTTTAGTCGAAATTCATGTCCAAATCTTACCCCAATTTTTCTTCATGGTTTTCCCTGTAGATTAATCTGGCATTCAAATCTGAACACCGATTTTTTAGTCGAAATTCATGTGCAAATCTTACCCCAAGATTCGTATATAGACATGGGTCAAAATTTACCACCCCCATATCTCGGCCAAATCTCATCCGATTTTCACGAAGTTTGGCTTTTTCTTCATGGTTTTCCCTCTAGATTAATCTGGCATTCAAATCTGAACACCGATTTTTTAGTCGAAATTCATGTCCAAATCTTACCCCAACATTCGTATATAGACATGGGTCAAAATATACCACCCCCATATCTCGGCCAAATCTCATCCGATTTTCACGAAGTTTGGCTTTTTCTTCATGGGTTTCCCTCTAGATTAATCTGGCATTCAAATCTGAACACCGATTTTTTAGTCGAAATTCAAGTCCAAATCTTACCCCAAGATTCGTATATAGACATGGGTCAAAATTTACCACCCCCATATCTCGGCCAAATCTCATCCGATTTTCACGAAGTTTGGCTTTTTCTTCATGGTTTTCCCTCTAGATTAATCTGGCATTCAAATCTGAACACCGATTTTTTAGTCGAAATTCATGTCCAAATCTTACCCCAAGATTCGTATATAGACATGTGTCAAAATTTACCACCCCCATATCTCGGCCAAATTTCATCAGATTTTCACGAAGTTTGGCTTTTTCTTCATGGGTTTCCCTCTAGATTAATCTGGCATTCAAATCTGAACACCGATTTTTTAGTCGAAATTCATGTCCAAATCTTACCCCAAGATTCGTATATAGACATGGGTCAAAATTTACCACCCCCATATCTCGGCCAAATCTCATCCGATTTTCACGAAGTTTGGCTTTTTCTTCATGGTTTTCCCTGTAGATTAATCTGGCATTCAAATCTGAACACCGATTTTTTAGTCGAAATGCATGTCCAAATCTTACCCCAAGATTCGTATATAGACATGGGTCAAAATTTACCACCCCCATATCTCGGCCAAATCTCATCCGATTTTCACGAAGTTTGGCTTTTTCTTCATGGTTTTCCCTCTAGATTAATCTGGCATTCAAATCTGAACACCGATTTTTTAGTCGAAATTCATGTCCAAATCTTACCCCAACATTCGTATATAGACATGGGTCAAAATTTACCACCCCCATATCTCGGCCAAATCTCATCCGATTTTCACGAAGTTTGGCTTTTTCTTCATGGGTTTCCCTCTAGATTAATCTGGCATTCAAATCTGAACACCGATTTTTTAGTCGAAATTCATGTCCAAATCTTACCCCAAGATTCGTATATAGACATGGGTCAAAATTTACCACCCCCATATCTCGGCGAAATCTCATCCGATTTTCACGAAGTTTGGCTTTTTCTTCATGGGTTTCCCTCTAGATTAATCTGGCATTCAAATCTGAACACCGATTTTTTAGTCGAAATGCATGTCCAAATCTTACCCCAAGATTCGTATATAGACATGGGTCAAAATTTACCACCCCCATATCTCGGCCAAATCTCATCCGATTTTCACGAAGTTTGGCTTTTTCTTCATGGTTTTCCCTCTAGATTAATCTGGCATTCAAATCTGAACACCGATTTTTTAGTCGAAATTCATGTCCAAATCTTACCCCAACATTCGTATATAGACATGGGTCAAAATTTACCACCCCCATATCTCGGCCAAATCTCATCCGATTTTCACGAAGTTTGGCTTTTTCTTCATGGGGTTCCCTCTAGATTAATCTGGCATTCAAATCTGAACACCGATTTTTTAGTCGAAATTCATGTCCAAATCTTACCCCAAGATTCGTATATAGACATGGGTCAAAATTTACCACCCCCATATCTCGGCGAAATCTCATCCGATTTTCACGAAGTTTGGCTTTTTCTTCATGGGTTTCCCTCTAGATTAATCTGGCATTCAAATCTGAACACCGATTTTTTAGTCGAAATTCATGTCCAAATCTTACCCCAAGATTCGTATATAGACATGGGTCAAAATTTACCACCCCCATATCTCGGCAAAATCTCATCCGATTTTCACGAAGTTTGGCTTTTTCTTCATGGTTTTCCCTCTAGATTAATCTGGCATTCAAATCTGAACACCGATTTTTTAGTCGAAATTCATGTCCAAATCTTACCCCAAGATTCATATATAGACATGGGTCAAAATTTACCACCCCCATATCTCGGCCAAATCTCATCCGATTTTCACGAAGTTTGGTTTTTTCTTTATGGTTTTCCCTCTAGATTAATCTGGCATTCAAATCTGAACACCGATTTTTTAGTCGAAATTCATGTCCAAATCTTACCCCAAGATTCGTATATAGACATGGGTCAAAATTTACCACCCCCATATCTTGGCCAAATCTCATCCGATTTTCACGAAGTTTGGCGTTTTCTTCATGGTTTTCCCTCTAGATTAATCTGGCATTCAAATCTGAACACCGATTTTTTAGTCGAAATTCATGTCCAAATCTTACCCCAAGATTCGTATATAGACATGGGTCAAAATTTACCACCCCCATATCTCGGCCAAATCTCATCCGATTTTCACGAAGTTTGGCTTTTTCTTCATGATTTTCCCTCTAGATTAATCTGGCATTCAAATCTGAACACCGATTTTTTAGTCGAAATTCATGTCCAAATCTTACCCCAAGATTCGTATATAGAAATGGGTCAAAATTTACCACCCCCATATCTCGGCCAAATCTCATCCGATTTTCACGAAGTTTGGCTTTTTCTTCATGGTTTTCCCTCGAGATTAATCTGGCATTCAAATCTGAACACCGATTTTTTAGTCGAAATTCATGTCCAAATCTTACCCCAAGATTCGTATATAGACATGTGTCAAAATTTACCACCCCCATATCTCGTCCAAATCTCATCCGATTTTCACGAAGTTTGGCTTTTTCTTCATGGTTTTCCCGCTAGATTAATCTGGCATTCAAATCTGAACACCGATTTTGTAGTCGAAATTCATGTCTAAATCTTACCCCAAGATTCATATATAGACATGGGTCAAAATTTACCACCCCCATATCTCGGCCAAATCTCATCCGATTTTCACGAAGTTTGGTTTTTTCTTTATGGTTTTCCCTCTAGATTAATCTGGCATTCAAATCTGAACACCGATTTTTTAGTCGAAATTCATGTCCAAATCTTACCCCAAGATTCGTATATAGACATGGGTCAAAATTTACCACCCCCATATCTTGGCCAAATCTCATCCGATTTTCACGAAGTTTGGCGTTTTCTTCATGGTTTTCCCTCTAGATTAATCTGGCATTCAAATCTGAACACCGATTTTTTAGTCGAAATTCATGTCCAAATCTTACCCCAAGATTCGTATATAGACATGGGTCAAAATTTACCACCCCCATATCTCGGCCAAATCTCATCCGATTTTCACGAAGTTTGGCTTTTTCTTCATGATTTTCCCTCTAGATTAATCTGGCATTCAAATCTGAACACCGATTTTTTAGTCGAAATTCATGTCCAAATCTTACCCCAAGATTCGTATATAGAAATGGGTCAAAATTTACCACCCCCATATCTCGGCCAAATCTCATCCGATTTTCACGAAGTTTGGCTTTTTCTTCATGGTTTTCCCTCGAGATTAATCTGGCATTCAAATCTGAACACCGATTTTTTAGTCGAAATTCATGTCCAAATCTTACCCCAAGATTCGTATATAGACATGTGTCAAAATTTACCACCCCCATATCTCGTCCAAATCTCATCCGATTTTCACGAAGTTTGGCTTTTTCTTCATGGTTTTCCCGCTAGATTAATCTGGCATTCAAATCTGAACACCGATTTTGTAGTCGAAATTCATGTCCAAATCTTACCCCAAGATTCGTATATAGAAATGGGTCAAAATTTACCACCCCCATATCTCGGCCAAATCTCATCCGATTTTCACGAAGTTTGGCTTTTTCTTCATGGTTTTCCCTCGAGATTAATCTGGCATTCAAATCTGAACACCGATTTTTTAGTCGAAATTCATGTCCAAATCTTACCCCAAGATTCGTATATAGACATGTGTCAAAATTTACCACCCCCATATCTCGTCCAAATCTCATCCGATTTTCACGAAGTTTGGCTTTTTCTTCATGGTTTTCCCGCTAGATTAATCTGGCATTCAAATCTGAACACCGATTTTGTAGTCGAAATTCATGTCTAAATCTTACCCCAAGATTAATTCAATATAAATATTCACAGAATGGTGAAGGCTCACAAAGCTAGTAAAATGTTGTATCAGTAAACTCCGAGTTTTTTTTTAGATTTCTTAATTGCGCAGTTTTTAATAACATGTACTAGCAGGTATTACCCGGCTTTGCTCGGATCAAGTCAATTTCTCTACATTTCACGAAGAACTTTTCTCCCAATTCATGTTTTGAATCACATTTGGAATAGGAATTAACATAAATGTTTGGAAATAGGTTTCAAAATGATCAATCAATAGTTGTCCGTGGGTTGGGCTCTCCAAAATCAGTAAATAAGTAAATATGTTGATCGGACCAATTTTAAGCTTTGCAAACTTAGTTCTCCCTTTTCGTCCAGGGGGATTTTTAGAAATTGCAAATGGAATTTCCAAAATCCCATCTTACCGTTCACTTGCATGACATAAGATATTAACTTTCAGGATTTCAGCCTCCTAACTCTTACGTTGACCGCCCATAAGTCCATCAATATAAATACTTATAAGCTCAGACTTATAGAATTTCCTAAACGTGAGGAAAGTACTCTTAATCACTTTTAATTGAAAAGTATTGTTATTTAAATTATTTATTTAATCGATATACGTGCGTCCAAATAGAGTTTTGAGACTCTGCAAATGACGTCATGTTAACGTATTGGCAGGCTTTTATGAGTTGACTGCCTAACAGAGAAGTTTACAGTCGCTTAACAGTGAATTTATTGAAAAACGGAGATAGTGCTATGTTTCGAAACCTATTGATAGTGACGGCGATGATCTCTCAGCATGGATATCGGACGATGATGCAGCTCCGCGGTGACGCGCTCGCTTTTCAGCAGATCCTCCATATCCGATAGTGGATCCTCACTTATGTTGAGATCCTTGACCGGCATGTCGTATACATATTGCTTCATTATGGGCCGACTGATTGATGGCCGATTTGTCTTCATGGCCAGGTCTGGCAGCGAAAGCTTCGACAGCTTTTTCCTTTGCTCCGGCAGAAAAGTATTGGAATATGAGGAGGGAGTGCTCGCCACATTAAGCGATTCGTCGTCGATGCTTGGATCATAATACACATTTGTATTAGAATTGGTAACGGTTTCTGCTTCTTGAAAGGGGGGATTGCTGGCCTCGGTGGCTGTGTCCACTCCAGTAGAACCGCTGGTTCGCGTTTCACTTGCCTTTTTCCAAATTAACGAGATTTTGGGAACTATTGTGTCAACACTGCTAGAGCACAGTTGCACTGTGTAGCTGAGGGCATCGCGCAGTAGATGCCGCTTGCCGTGCAGCAGAATATCATCAATCCGCGTCATGTAGCGCACCAAAAGTGGACTCAGAATCGAATCGAAGACCCAGACGCTGGCCTGGGGCGCGGAGATGACCAGCCAAAGCACGATCAGCAGCTTCGTCTCCGCATACAATGGTAACCAATTGAAGAGCGTGTCTCCAGCTACCTCCATGCACACAAGCCACGCATAGACAACCCAATACTTGCCCCAGGCATTCAACTCTTCCACGCCCAGCGCCTTGTGTGTGTAGCGTGCCGGTACCAGGACGCCAAAGATGATCACCAGGAAACGCGTGATGAAGCCAAAAAAACACATATTTAGAGGATTTCGTTGTCAAATTATATATAAATATGAAATGAATTTTAAAACGAATTGTTTTTGTGTCTGACACTTCCCCCTCTCTCTGACATATCTAACTCTCAATTTCACAATATTCTATTTGTTGGTAACTTGTTGCATTAGAGTCTACTTCAAATATGAAACCATTTCGTGCGAACTAGTCTCTCAGTTTTAAAGCTATCTTTTTGAAACTTTGCAGAAGTGCTTCTTTCTGTTGCGCGCAGTAAATATGTCGGAACCAGCTGGATCGGACCACTATATCATATAGCTGCCATAGGAACGATCAGTCGAAAAGTAGCTTTTGGTTGAATACCTTTTTTGTTTATTAAGATATCTTCACCAAATTCGGCATTTATTAGTTTTACTATGCTTCTCATTTATTTGCAAAATCCTATCAACATCAAAATACTATATCATGAAGCTGGCATAGGAACGATCGATCGAAAAGCAGGTTCTTGCATGGAAAACTAGTTTGTTTTTCAAAATATCCTGACCAAACTCTCCATTTATAAGTTAAACTATGTTCCCTACATTTATGCAAAATACTATCAGCATTGGACCACTATATCATATAGCTGCGATAGGATCGATCTGTCGAAAAGCAGGTTTTTTACACGAACAACTTTTTTGTTATTCAGAATATCTTAACCATACTCGGCACTAAATATTTTTCCTGTGATTCTTTCTCGTTTCTTGTTTATTTGTTATTGGGGTTTCACTTTCTTCAGATGCGAATACAGCTGCTGAAACGCGCCAGCGGCTACAAGCCCTTCCTGTACGATGTGAGACACTGCGATGTGTGCGAGTATCTGGAGAAGCGGAACCATCCCTTTGTGAATATCGTGTTCAATAGCTTCGCGAATCACACAAACGTCAACAAATGCCCACTGCCCGTGAGTTTTCCGCAACCATTTTATTTGATATCCAAGCAAATTCTAAAAATTCATATCCAGTCGGAGTTGCGCGTGGAGCATTTTCGGTTTCCAGTCAAGGCGCTCGAGTTGCTGCCGCTTCCTGGCGGGGATTATGCGATCTATTCCACGTTCAGCTTCGATCGTCGAGAGCGGGCCACGCTGAAGGTGTTCTTCACGCTGACTGAGTCTCGTTAGTGTAAACGATTCAACGATCCAACAATTTAATTTAATTAAAATATAAATTAATGAATGTGTACTATGTAAATGCGCTCAATAAATCGAATTATTGTAATTGAAATCCACGACAGCTTAAATAAACTAATTTGCTAATTGCATATAAATTGTGAACTCGAACGAAATGTGGACAGTAACGAGAACTCGAATCAAAATACTTTTTATATTCCCGATTTGTATTGCAATATTATATTATTTTATGGATGTTCACGTTAACTCGTACAGCACGTGTTTTATTAACTTCTGAATTATGGGTCACGAAACCAGGTCTGCGGTATAATATAAATATATATAACATAATTTTAAAAAAATGGGACACTAATTAAGAATTATTGAAATTATTGTTTGGCGTGAGCTTTAAAGGTTATTCAAAATGCTGCAGTCTCGCATAACAATTCACATGGTCCAGCCTCTAACCTATGCGCGACCCTCGACCAAATGCTCGGTCATGACATTTGGGCAGGCATTAAAAAGCCATCAAGTCTTGGGCACATGAGATCTTATTGAAACCAAAGACCTTTCAGCGCATTATCCAATCGATGTCCAGCCAATTGCGCTGCGTGCCCATTGAAATCGAAACGAAAATTAATTGTAATTGTGTCTAATAACTGAAATGTTGACGGAAATAAAAAGCTGTCCGTCTGTCTATCGCCCAACATATAATTACGTATACGTACATATGTCAAATGTAAAAGGCAAAAATATGAATTCAATTACCAACTTTGCATGCATAATGAATTCATGGGTCAATTGCAAAAACTTGAACTTCAAAACTGATCGGAATGCCGCTAAATGTTATTATATCTTGTGTTATTGAGTGCGCTGACAGGCGATGGGCTTTTCATATAACTTGTCGAAAACCGATTGCCTAGGAAGTAATAACACTTTGGAGAAGCAACAAAGCGACTCGACAATGCATAAATGTTGCCAATTAATTTCACATGCAAATTAATGAGCAGCAATTACCAGCTAAAGACAAAAGGCCCATTTATAATAAGTTTGTTTTGTGTGCTCTCTCTCTCTCTCTCTCTCTCTCTCTCTCTCTCTCTCGTATTCCTTGCAAGCAATATGTATTATTGTTATTATTTGTTGCTTGTAAATAAATAATTTTCGCACGCGGTTTTTGGAACGTCGATGAGCGCTTTATCGCTGATTAACCCAAATTCAAATGAAGTTAAGCCTCAAAAACAAGCCAAGCCAAAGGCTAAGGAACTTCATTTTCAAGTTATTGACTTTAGTCGCAGATACACTTCGTATCCAAAACAAGTCAATGCGTCATCTAAATGAACTGAATGGCAAGAGATCCCCTTCAAAGACGCAATCATGCTCATGATTCTTACCAATTGTTGTGGCATATAGTTTTATGGAAAACTTTAAAAGCACTTCCTCCCATTTCATAACATCAATAACATGCTCTGTTTCCAGGTAATCAATAAAAATCAATTTCAATAAGCAACCATATAAAAGATATTTTGTTTTTCAAGATATTTTTATTAAACTTAGCTTTTACGAGCTCGACTATTCTAACATATTTGCAAGCCCGTAAGGTAAATGTCCCCAAAGGTATTAGATCATGCCCTGTGAAAATGTGAAAAAATCTCAATATCTATAATAAATTTATAAAAATCCATTTCGTCACTATACAAAAATTCTGATGCATTAAGGAACTCTTTAATAATTGAATAAATCGAGGAATTCCTTATTGATTTAATAAACGCTCAAACGCGCTACAAATTGGTCTGTGCAGTGTTCGCATTGATCTTCATGTTGATCAAGATTAATTGTGTGCTAATTGCATTTAAATTGCACGTATTTTTGGCCAGCGTTGCCTTTGAACTCATTTAACTGAATTAAAACGGCAACGTGCGCTCGTTGCAAGTTCGTTGCTTCAGTCTTTTGTATTTGTGTTGTGTATCAATTAATCAACCTTTCAGCATGACAAATCATTTGTTTAGTTTTTGCCCAAAATATGTTTGTATTCTGCTTTCCTTACAAATTGATTTTGCCTAAGTGACAGCAACGCCTCCTCTCCAAATAATTTACATTTTTGACAATAATCGCATTCAAATGGGATTTGAATTTGAATTTCGTTTAGCCAATTTGCAGGAAGTGGCTGCCGAACGGCGACATTAGCGCATGTTGACCCTGACAGGTCAGGTTTTGTTTGAGTATATTTAATGTAATTTTGCTCAATATTACAAAACTATTGTATTTTCATGGTATTAAAAGCTGTCACTGAGAGCAGTACAATTCGAAAAATCCAAAAATTGTTCATCTAATGGGCTGGACCCACTAACCAAGAGTCTCGAGCATGTTTGGCTTTCGCAAGCCAGGAGCCAGACGGAGCGAACGACTTGTGTGCTTATGAATATTTATAGATTATTGGCTTGAAAATAAATGGAGCCAGCATGGAGCCGCACGAGTGAGAAGTAGAGAGAGACCCAGTTTATGGGCCTGACTGAAATCCAAACAGTGGCTGGTCTCCGGTCTCCGGCCTCTGTGGGTCTTGGACCATGGGGACTGGTACCAGGTAGCCGACATAATAGTGGCAATAATGCTTATAATATAATCGAGTTCGGTCCAATATTTTGTAAAGTGCTGCAATTTTCGACTTGTTGTCGCTTTATGCAGACTTTGATTAACATTTTTTGTTGTGTGTGTTGTTTGGCTTGCATCTTAATTTATACACATTTCTTCAGTTGGGCCATAATTTAAGTTCGTTTCAAATTCATATTTACATTTGTGCATTTATGTTACAATTTTGTTTAAAGTTTGAAACCTGATTAGTCGTTGTTTATATATTTATTGCATCATTAAAATGACCCAAGTTGGTTGCCGGTTGACAATTTCGTAAATGTGGTTGGCGGATTTGTTTTATTGATTTCTTTTTTCTGCTCTTTTTCAATTCCCATCTCAAATCCAAGCCCAAATCAGGCAGCGTGAAGTGTTGGAAATTATGCAAATGCTTATTGATTTTCTTTGTTTCTCCATTTTTTATAGAAATCTGAAAGAGCTTTAAACCTGAAACTCCTCGCGGACACACACTTTTATGTATGTCTGCCTCTCGATACTTTAATATATTACTTTTTCTTCATGCTTAACTGCATTTTGACGCCTCATAAAACGACTATTTACCATTAACGATTGCATGATGCTTATGAGATGATAAATTGGTACCCGGTTCATCTTCTTGTGGGTATCAAAAAACTTCGGTCGCAGCAGGAAAATGACATTGACCTTTGACTAAGACGTGGATTAATGTGGGACAGAATACTCGGCTTATTAATCGGCGACATAAATATTATTTTGAACGGGAAGAATGACCTGATTTAACCAACATTCAAAGTAAGCGCATCATCAACCTATTTGAAACGTGAGAATCTAAGTTTGACAGTCTGATTTATTTACGAAACCAAGATAGTATCGGGAGCGTAAAGTGAGTAAGATTGTTAACTAATATTTTGTAAATATTTAAAATTTTTTTAAGTTTTTCTTTTTTAATTTTCATTCCCCGCAATATTTTTTAATCTAAATGCTTTCTTTAACTTTTACAATGAATTGATATACAACTGTTTTCCTAACTGTTTGGATGAATTGCTGATCATCAACTAACAATCCTAAAGAAATGAAGTACAGTGTAGTAAGTGACGTTATGAGCCTTTTAAACAACGCCCTACTATGCGATTCTCATAAAAGTCGCACTCCAATTTACTGTCTTTTATCCTCTTTTCAATGTACCCCGCTATCTGTTTTTTTCAATTTGTAGTAATATGTATGTTTGGATAGCTCTTTGAATTTTGTTGTTAATTATATTTCTCTAAGTGAATTTCAAAACATATAATGTATAATGTGATGAAACTTAATACTAATACGCTGTTCTTGAGTATTTCTTCACGCAAGCTTGGAAATTCGGTGGCAAGTTGTTGCATGAAACTGTTTTCAGTTTCCCCCAATCGGCTTCAAACTCATTTTCACAATAATTTGTGTAAATTCGTTGCAGACGTCGACGAAAAACTATTGCATGCAGCTTGCTGATTTTCATCAGAGCCGTTGCAAACTTATTTTCAAGCATCAATGTAAATTTTTCAGAAAATTCGTCTCCATGCACAGTGGACGATTTGGCTGACTTAGCGTATCGAAATTGAGTACTACAAAAAATTTAAATTTCCTTTAAGATCATAATTTGGTCTGGGATTTAAGTAAATACGGTAGAGGCAGTTTTTTATTCAAAAGAATTTTTATTAAATTCAAATTGAACTCTGCAAGGGTATATGATCACAAAAGAATTGGGCTCATAAAGGAACGAATATACATAAAACATAAAAGTATTCAAAAAATGGCATTTAAAACAAAAGTATTGTATTGTTCGATAATTCAAAGAAAAGAAATTGATGATAGAATAATGCTTTACTTAGCATGCTAATGCATTACTCGATGATTGAAATTCTCAACCAGTTTAAACTTTGACAAGGCCAAAAGGCGTTAGATATTCGAAAGCAAAGAAAGTCGATCAAAGGAGAATCTATAATAGATAGACAACATGGTATTTTGTGTCTATTGTTATAATAAAAAACAACAAATCAAACAGAGAACAAAGCTTAGCTAATAAATTGAAATTTGTGCGGCAGTGGCTCGGTGGAGGGAGAGTAGAAGAAAAACAATAATTAAATGTAATGCCAATGCGCTGTGGCATTTCGGCTTAGAAGTCAGGCTGTGAGAAAGCAGCGAAAAGTGTCAATAAACACAACAGATTTAAGACAATGTAAACAAATGCAATGCAATTAACACGAAATTCACATAAAAATAATGAGTTCAACCGACGAGATTCCGACTTCGGAGCCGACGCGCCGCCAGCTGCAGTATTTGGCGACCCATGAAATGAAACCTGTTGCAGACCCCCCCATCCCACCCCCTGGGCAGAGTAAAGGGGGGTTCATAGGAAAAACTCACAGCTCATTAATAGATGCCTATCGCAGCTGGGGCTAAATGTCGCTTGAAATGCTGCGCTCGAAGCAACACGTGTAATGACACCAACGATCCGATGAAGATATCAATCTAAGTATCTGGTTTATATAAGAGCGGACTTCGAGCTAAAAGTGGCAATTGGGGTCGATCAGCGTCTCCAGTGGATGGGCAGCTGATAATGGATCGGCAGCTACGTCAGCCACGTTGAGTCAGAGCATCGCATCAATATTTATACCCTTCGGTTGATTGGTTCATTGCCGTTTCACCCAGTCGATCTGCTGACCACTCGTCGAACGACTGCTGGTCTTACGTGCACGAGGGTTCACTGTGCCTGGATCCACACGCATTACTGCACGCCCCCACCAAGCATCCCACTTATCGCAATGTGGAACAATTACCTTTTAATTGGGCCGCTTTGATTGCTCGCATTCATTTGAGCGAGCATTTGCATTGGGCATTGATTATACGGGTTAGTCGAAAACGGAAAGGTTACGGACCATAACCGTCTAATCAAATTCAAATCCGAGACAATGGCTGTCATTGAACTTCGACGTATTTGTGGAATTTGAACAAGAATTTTTAATGTTATGTTAAATTTTAAATTATCGATAATTGGACAATTAAATGCGGTATGCACGCGAAGCAGTTGTGTGTATTACTAAGTTAGGTTCTGCAAAACTAACAAACTATTTCCCATCGATTGTGGACAGACTGCGTTTGAATGGAACTGTTTCTTATGTTTACCATCCAATAGGCCTCAAACTAATTTTCAGACAATTTCCTGAAAATCTGGCGTTCCTGGTGGAAAATTCACGTCGGAAAGACTAAATTCAGGCTAATTTTGTGGATTTTTAAAAAATTCAATCCTCCTGAGTTGAGAATGGGGCTCAAAGATTTGTTTGGTGAAGTTTCGGTTTCAAACTCATTTCCAAGGATCTTTAGGTAAGTTAATTTGCTATTTGATGCACTTCCCCCTTACCACCACATACGTTTCATTTTACTAAACTTAAATTGTTGGAAAATGTTGATTACAACTTTTGCTTTTTAATTTAATGGACTTTAAACTCATTTTCTAATATTTTTGTGAATTATGTATTATATTATATTATATATTATATTATGTATAGATTTATAAGTTCTACAGCAGTTGGCTTGGCTTAAAGCTCTGTTCATGGTAAATGACAATAAGAATCCTGGGCTTAAATCGGTTCGGGGTAAGCCTTGGTTTTTTGACAGTTTATTCTATTGGGGTATGGTAAAAATAAATGATTTATTAAAATTCTAACTAATTAGTATTGATGCTAATTGCAATTTGGCGAATCACGCCCGAGGGAAACACATGTTGGAGCTTCAACAGCTTCCTGTTAACAATGTGGCTTGCTGTCAATGCCTTAATGACACATTTTGAATTAATTTTGCTTTTCATAAACTCACCAATTAAACAAAGTCTGTTTTGTGCCAGGAAATTTGCATGTGAGTAATGTTTTGTTGCGAAGATTGCAAGCTGAAGATAAATTAAAACAAATCTTTACAACATTAATCAAATGCTTTTCAGCAACAATAACTGCACTCTAAAAGTCATTCAACGCTTCGAGTAAGTCACCACAGTGCAAAAACAAAGAGAGAGAGAGAGAGAGAGTGTGTGTGAGAGAATGAGATCCAGTGCGAAATGAACTCAAAATTCCACTCAAAGTTCCACTCAAAAGCTAACTCATGCTGACTATGAAAAATGCAAGTGGTTTTTGGTTTTGTTGTCGCTATCGTTTTCGTTTTCGCTTTCATTGGAAGCTTTCAAGGCAACTTTGGATGTGGCTTTGGCTTTAAGCCATCGACTAGCTTTGGGCCTAAGCAACACCAAACACAACGGCAACGGTTTGGGCCAAAGCTCGGCTCTGGCTGTTGTTGCTGTTGCTGTCTGTCTCGCTTGCGCCGTCGTCAGCTTTTATTGTTGTTGCTGCTGGCCCGATCATCGTGCGCTATATTTTTTGGACTGCGCAGCGCTGCCCAAGCGAACGTTAACTTTAGTGTGCGCCGACCAGTTTCCGTAGACGGCCACAAAAACGGCACGCAGACGCGATACGTCAAACCAACTACCAAAATTATAAATTTAAATACAAGCAAACAAAAAAAAAAAAAAACCCATTGAGATTCCCAAAAGCGCAGCTTATGTAAGGCTGCCCTTAAGTTCTTCCCAGTGCAGTGGCAAAGCGACGCCTAAACGGCGCTCAAAAGTGTAAACACAACAGCAACCCCAACCAAGAAAAGGCAGCAGCTTCAGCTCCATTGAATTAAGCTCAATTCGCAATCTCTCAACTCTCCGTTTTCGTAATCGTGTTGGGCAAAACAAAAGCAAAAAGCAAACAGCAAACAAAAAAAAAGTGAATCTGCCTTTCAAGTAATCTCCATTTTAATTTCTATCTCGCTCGCACCCAACGGTCAGACAGTCTGCCATTTTTTCCGTTGCTGTTGCTGCTGCTGCTGCTGCTCTGCTGCGTCGCCGTCGCGCTTTTTTATTGTTTATGTTTTTTCGTGTTCTGAGCCCGGAGAAGGTTAAGAAATAATAAAAGCAATACAATCAGAATCACAATTACAATCGCAATGAAATGGAATGAGTGAAAAATAAATTTCGTTAACAACAACAACAACAACAACTACGAAAAAGTCGTCTGCCAAGCAAATTTCACGCCGTATTTAATCTTAGCGCAGTGCCCGCCTGCAGTTTAATCGCTGTTCGTCTTTCTTTCCGTTCGTGTTGTGGGCTCTGTGTTCTGGTTCTGTGTGTTCTCTGTTCTGTTCTGTTCTGTTCTGTACTGTTTTACAGTTATCAGTAATCAGTACCCAGCAATCGGTGCGCGCTTGGCTCTCGTTATCGTTATCGTTATCGTTATCGTTGTTGCTATCGTCGCATCTCTTGGTCAGAGCCAGAGGAGAAAAGCACAGGGCGCAGGCGCAGACGTGTTGCTATTTTCAAAACACAATAACGGTATATTCGCTCGCACAAGCTGTTCTATGTTCATAAGAGTATAACACAGTCATCAAGTCCATCGCAACCGAATATCAATATATGCGTATGAGAGTGCTGTACATATTTTAAAGTTTCAAAAGGGATTTTCGTGTAAAGTTCGTCGGCCATTTTTTGGCCGCATAGAAGTTAGATAAATTTCGGACTTAGGTAAGTTGACAATTAAATAGAGTTAAGAATATTTTAAGTCTAAGTCTACAATTTGAGTGAAAATACATTTTTTTGTTCTTCAAATGAGATTAGATTAAATTTTTATCTGAATGTTGTTCCTTGTTTATCAAAATTTGTTCATGGCATAAAATTTTTACTTGGATTTATAATACTGTGTCACATGATCTATTTCTGCGAACTGACTTCTAGCCGAAGCCAGATTCTTCAAAAGTTTTACACATGTCCACAATATTATTTAATACTTTTTTCAAGATTGGGGCTAACGAACGAATTTCGTTGGCTTTTACTAATTTGCAGACAAGTTTGTTTAATTAAAACCTTCACACATTTTTGGAAAAATGTATCAAATTGTTAATTTATTTAATTGAAAAACTTGCTAATTGCCAAATAATCAAATCGCATAATACACTATGTAAAATTTCAAATATTACTGTAGGCTTTTTTTGTTTTTGTAAGACCCATTCAAAAAGTGGGCTTGTTTCTTGGTTTCATCAGAGTGCAATACGTAATTGATTTTATTTTATTTTTAGTTTTTATATGTTTGAATGTATGCAGCTATAAATGCATATAAAACGACTTTTCATTGTTGTTGTCGGGCATTTTGGCTGTACACGTTATTATCTCATTGTTGTTGCTGTTGTTGCTGTTGTAGCAGTTGTTGTAGTTGTTGTAGTTGTTGTAGTTGTTGTTTCTGGCCGCTTTGTGGCTTCGATCGTAGCGATTTTGTAATATTGCTACAGTTATTATTGCCCGATACGCTTTACTCTGCTCTCTTCACTGTTATTGTTGCAATTATTGCAGCTCGCATTGCAACAAAGCCCAGAGAAAGAGCGAGAGAGAGCGACAGGGAGACAGAGAGAGCGAGAGAGCGGGGAGCCCATTAAGCTTTCAGCTGCTCCCTGCGCCAGCTTTTAACTGGTATGCACAATGATCTTAGCTCCAATCAGACTGTAACTGTAGATTTGCAACTTTCCAGGCACTCGCATTCTATGCTCACCCTTAGACAATGTTTACATACGAATTGTATTACGTTTTTCTTCTGGTTTGTGCTCAAATTCGAAGATATTGCAGGCTGTTTATGAAAACGGGCAGACAAAACCTTGTCAGCTGTGCTCGTTGAGAGGCATCGTTCATCAGCTCGACGACAGTGTCCACTTTTTGAATTCATCTCTTATTTTTATTTATTTATAGTTTATATTTTTTCGCTGTGCCTTTTCATTGACACCGAAGAAGAAACCCGAGTAACCTGTTTGTTTGTCTCTCTGTTCGCAGTCGCCTATCCGTTCAACGCTTTGTGTGTGTGTTTGTGTGTGCGTGTGTGTGTGTGTTTTATTTAATTGCATTTTTTCTTCAACATTTAATAAATAGTTTTCAGCGTAATTTATGGTTGATAATGTGTGCATTGTTTTTTTTTTTGCTATTTCTTGGAAATGTTTGGAAAAACTATTTATCGGTATATGCAAATGTTTAAAGACTTCTGTAATATTTAATAGATTTTTTAAGCATTACCTAATTTGCTTACTTTATAAAATTTCAGTTAAATATTCAAACTTTTTTTTTTCATATTTTATATACGTTTTAGGCCGTTAACAAATCCCAATGTTTAGATACTACGAATTAAAAGTTTTAGCAATTGCAACTAAACAAAATCATTTTCGATTATAATAAAAATTAAGTATACAACTTAAAATTTATACGATTTGCATGTCAGACATCAAATTAGTCTTTTTCGTTTTAAACTAATATGTATTAAAATAAAATCGGGTTAACTTCCTGTTTAAAATCATAAATATGCATTATTTAAACAGTTTAATTGGCGCCTTAATAAAATATTAATAATGCAAATGCCATAAATGTAATAAGTTTGGGCATAACGCATATCGCAGACAACTACATAATAGATTTATATATATATATATATATATATATATATGTAGTATCCAAGTTTGTACTCGTGTTTCTGAGCTGCGCTTTTGACGTCTTCTTCAATTTCAATTTCAATTTCACTTTCATTTTGCGGTTTACCGTTTTTCCAACAGGCGACGGCGACCGCACCGCTGCATGCAATCTACAAGCTGTGTGTGTCTGTGTGTGTGTGTGTGTGTGTGTGTGTGTGTGTGTTGCATGTAACATGTTGTAACAACAGCTGGAAAATTATAACAACAGCAACAACAATTGCAGCTGCAATAAAAACATTTCAATTCCGAAATAATTTTGTTTGCAGCTTTGTTGTTGTTGTTATTGTTGTTGTTGTTGCCCGTTCTATGGCCCAAGAAATAATAAATAAATAAATAAACGAATCTTTTTTGTATTTACGTTTCGACTGGTTTTTGCAGTTAATCGGAATTTTGGCATTTCTTTTTCGCAATTAGCCCCAGCGTCTGTTTTATTGCTACCCTTTTATTTAATTAGCTGGCGCTCTGCGTATACGCAATATGTTTGCTTGAGTTTTTTAGCCATTTGTTTTTGTTTTTTTTTTTAATAGTTTGCCTTTTCAATATTTGCATATTTCAATGCGCCTCTGCTGCTGTCACATTACGTATACGCCGCATGCGCATCGAACTGCTCACGCGTTATTCTAAAATGTTTACAATATCAATAAATATCGACTTTGAGACTTGGGTTTTAAAGAGTAATCCAGGTAGACACATCATACTTGGTATATAAGTGAACTAGAGTTTATAAAGATTTAAAATATATCAATTTTTGGATACCTGCGCCCATTCCCTCCGCAATCGCAAAGCTATCAAAGGTAATATATATTGTTTGCTCCATTTGAGCAATAAAATCGGACTATAAGCACCGAAGCTAAACCAAATATGAATTTCTTTAACATAGCATGGAGCAAAGGGAAGAAGAAGCACAGAATAAGGCTCGAATATATCTTTCTTCTTTGATTATGTATAGCAGAAGGAAGCTTAGGGTATCTTCTAGTCTGGCACATCCACATTTAAGCACTCTCGTTATAGCCTGGCCTAAAATCTGACTTATATATTTGACATATTTATCCAAGAAATTTTCATAAAGTAAGCTAGAATGCTTAGGGCATCGCCTAGTCGGACACTTGCCGATTCCAGCACTCTTGTTATAGCCAGGCCTAATATATTTTCTGTTGCTTTGAGCATATTTATCAGAGAAATTAAAATATTTCATCGTATTTTTGGTGCCCTGCCAGGCAAACACATTTGCACAGCTGTTTTCGACTTCGTTAGCTGTCAGCGGCTTTTCAACACACATTCAAGGTACAAGTTCCCAACTCCATTGTTTCGACTGCAAACAATAGAAAATATTCGCTCGCCCTTTTACACAGATACGCACACATACAGACAAATTGCAGCTGATTTGAAATGTTGAGCAAATGCAAAGAGTTCAGGTCGCAGACACTTTACGTAATCCTTTCCGTCATCATTGTCGCTTTGGCGCTGCAACCTGCAACATGTTAACTGAGAAATCAAATTTATTATCTTTTGTTGATTCGCTCGGTCTCTGCGCTGATTTTTGCAAAACGCCAACAGTTGAACTTTGTTATGTCACTTTGTTATGCCCCACAGTAGATTATGTTGTGATTTGTGTGGGAGGCTGGGAATTCATTTTGGGCATTGGCTACGCGATCAGCTTAGGAAAGTTGCATTTATGTGTCTTTTGCCGAATAAGGCTGGGAAAAATGTTTGTTAATTAAGATTAAAGCCAAGATATTAAAGGCCTCATTTGAACATATGTTTAAAAGATATGCCATTCATTTGAATTTATTTGAAAGGAAGAATAATTATATAATATGTTAAGGTGTTATGATGTTTCGTTTTGCCATTATTTTGATATTTTTAACCATCATCATTGCCTTGTTGCTCGTTTGTGAGCTTGTGTGTGTTTCAAAGAGGTAATGATTACAATATTCAATTGCGATGCACATTATATAATCTTTGAACACACACAAAATACCATAAAGAGCCCGTCATACGATGTGTTGAACTAAAAACTTCACTCATAACCATTACCTAACCAAGCCCAGCTGAAGAAAAGTCCATTACTCATGCGCCCAGCTGTTGCTGTCGGTTGCTGCAGGCCCTGAGAAATGCCCCAAGGCATTTCGCACAGCTCGGCACTTATCAAAATAAGTTCATTATCAACTAAAGTGCACAAATAGGCAACTAAGTAGCCGCCAGTGCACAGGTGTGGACCCGACCACCGATGATATCAGCGCCATGGCAGCAATTATTCCATGGCGACGACAGCTGACGCACGTCTGATGGCAGATGGCCGGCCTGGGCTGTTTGGGGTAGGGCAGCGGCGAGGGCAGCAGAGTCGATTCGGCAGCGGTGGTCAGCTGCTGTCAATGTCAATTAAGCCAAAACGCTGACGCCCTCTGCTTGAAATGCTGCTGTTGTGTCAGCGAATCTGTGAAGAAAGCCAAAAGAAAGAGTAAACAGGCAAGATTGGCATGCCGACGATTGCATGCCCTTGTGAACGTAGGGCAAAATCTTGTCTAGAGGAGCCATATGATATGCTACGAAAAAACTGAAGCTCGTATGGGATGAGTTAGAGCAAGATATCCATAAATCAGACAGACATCTCCTTTAGGGCTACATTATATAGTAATTAATCGTAGAACTTAAATTTTTACCAATCATAGCAGAGATTAGCATATGTGCTGCCAGCAACAATATATGTACGTACTTTATGAGTAACACATACTTCTTGGCGAAACTCAAATGCCCTTTTGCAAGGGTATATTGACCAAAGGCTGCTAAAAGCCAACAGCTCATCGCTTAAGAAACAGAGAGTTACAAGCAAAAGCCATCAAAAATTCCCATAAACAGACAATCAACAAAATGCATTGGCAAAAGGCACAACAACAGCAACAACAACAACAAGAAAGGTAACAGCAACAGAGCAAAGCGACAGATAGACAGAAAGACAGACGCTCGCTCTGTTAAATATGTATGGCAAGTGTCTGTGTCGGCATAATTATGCGGAAGCTGACAATGCAACTTGCTTTTTGGCGGCAGACCCCCCTCCTCCCCCCTGCTATCACCCCTTCTCGGCAAGACCCCTTGCTGCGTGTGGCGGCTTTCTTAAAATTTTGTTTCAATGCCTCTTGGCATAATACCACACTTACAATGCTCGCAATGTGGCAAAGCGATTTAACTGTTGGCTTTCTTAGCGCTTCTGTTTTGGTGACGGCTCTTAAATTGGCCACAAAGCTTAATTGCTTCGGCAAACAGTGCCAACTGTGAAAACTGTGAAAACTCTTGCCGTTTGATGTCTATTACATAATTTTTACAGTTGGCCATGCACGCGATGCCACAAGCTGTGGAGTAAAGACAAAAAATATATATATAAATATATAAAAAAAACATATGTGAGGTCCTCGGTGGATGGGTTGTCTAAGTGCACCGAGCATTAGGCTTCCAATTCCAGTTTGTAGCTACCTCAATCCGACTGGCCGACATCTCTTTGTTGTGAAAAATGGGTTCAAATTTGGGATTTATTTACTGGATGAAAATGCGCGCTTGTTTGGGGGATCGTTTGCTCGAAAATTCTATGCAAAGTGGTTCCATCTTTTATGTCCCACGCTCCGAAAAGATGTAGGAGAGTGATATTTAAAATATACATTTCAAAGACAGGAAATACCTGTTAGCTTATATGTATCTATCGGTCTGATTTGGTATTAAGTAAGAGATCTCTGTGCAAATGCAACTTTAGGCATTGCCATAACCATAACCTTGAGTTCAAGAGTCATTTGATCAGCGGCAGCAGCAGCATCATCAACTATACAAAAACTAACCCTAATCGACCTTAATTATGCAAGCGGCTAGCAACGGATTGACAAAATGGCCAAGACAGGCCAAGAAACTATAATTCATTGAGTTTCATTCCGTTTTAAATTTGGTTTTGAATATGATTTTGATTTTTTTCTTTTCTGTTTCTGTTTCGCTTGCCGCGTAACTGTATTAGCCGTAAATTTATGTTAAGCACATGTGTGTTAACCAAAGACATAAAGACGTAAAGACGTCAACTTTGATTTTTTTACGCCATATACACTAATGTATAGGGTATTTTAGGCGTCGGTTCTTGTATATATTTTGTGAATACATTTTTATTGCTTAGGTTTATTTCTTAATGCAGGGTAGTTGGTAGTCGTGCCTACTTCTGTATTTTCCTACTTGATTTCCCTTTCTTTTTCGCGGTAGTAATTTTGTGCATTCAATTTGTGTTTGTCGTTGACATTCGAATACGAATTCGTCATAATTTGGCACCTTGATGAATTAATTTCGTTTTGATGATGTTTCATTTTTCTATTGTTTTACTTCGTTCAGGTGAAAGTCTTGCCCAAGGTTGTTCACGAACTTAACCGTTTAGCCGAGTTGAACTTACTTTTGCTTCAGGGCCATTTGACCTTAGGGCAAGGCTAAGTGAACTTGACGAAGATTTAGACAGATTTGCAGATAAATGCTCAAATATTTGCAAAGCGTAAAAGTATTCTTATTTAATGAGCAGAACGGAAATTATTTAATAAAGCATCTCAAATGTTAGGAACTCATATAAAATGGGTTATTTTCAAATTAGAATAAAATTTGATAAAAATTTTAAGCAATATTTATTTGATAAGAAAACTACGAGAAGTAGAAATGCTAAATTCCTAGCGATCAGTGTATTTTAATTAATAACTTCTACTCAAAATTATAATAAACTAGTTACATCAATTTTATCAATAACTAATTGAACTACACTCATGTATTTGTAAAAGGTACAAAGCCGAAGTCAAGTTCGTTGCCTAAGTCTTTTGATTATATTTGGCTTAGCTTGCGGTTTCCTTGTGGAGTTATTGTCCGCTTCAGCTTTATGCTAGCTAAATAAACTAATCACATCGGCACGTAGCCATTAACCCAAAAGTGACCCACTAATGTCTTCATCTGTAACTGGACTAATTGGAAGTTTGGGCTTAACAGTGGGCTGCGCCCAAACATGCCCCTTCTAAACGTTTGCTTGTGTCGAGTGAAAACCCATTTAATCTCAACACATTTGACGCAAATGCACGCCTCCAAAGCGATCAGCTCTTGGGTTTCTCTCCCTTCTCCTCGACAAGGCCCAAATTGCAGCAACGTTTGCCGGCAACAATTTTTACAAAGGCGTCAATAACTTACAATTAAATGTTTTGGAAATTTCACTTTCTGCTGCACATTTGCTTGGGTAAGTGGCCCCCGAAATCGGTGAACGGCACAGCTGCAGATGCTGAAACGCCCATGCATGTCGCTTTTATTTCTGTTTTGTCATTCTGATTGATTTATAGTGTGTTAGCTGTGCATGGAATATGCTAACAACTTTATGCTCAATCAAAGTAGTCAAAACATTTATATATTTTAATGAATGAATCCTAGATCATTTATCATTAGATCATTTATCATTAGGCAAAATTACCTAAAATATAAGTTAATTTTTGTTAATTTTCTGCACAATTTCCCTGCCTTATATTGGGCGTGGCTAAGACACACTTTAACTCTTTGTCTATATACTCTATTCACTGTAAAGATCTCTCTTTTCTCTCTCAGTATAAAACCAAGAAAAAATATAATAAATTAATTTTATTTTTGTAATTTCATCATCTCATTCTCAGCTTTCCTTGTTTTTTTTTTTTGTTTTTTGGGTATTTTCCAGCGCTTGCAAAATTCGCATGCAAATTGCCCTAAAAATTGATATCTGAAAACATGCTGCGGCACGTCTGCCTTCCGTTTCTGCCTCCTTCAGGCTGAAAGACAAATGTCATGCAATTTGTTGTAAGAGTCGAAGTTGCAAAATGCAACAGCAGCTGTCGTTGTTGTTGTCGTTGTTGTTGTTGTCATTTCTGTTCGGTTTGTTGTTGTTGATGTTTTTACTGGGCAGTTTTGTTTGTTTTCAGTTGGTTTGTCAAAGGTCTGGCCATGTCAATGTGGATGCTGCCGCCTCTTGCCACGCATCGCTGCATCATTATTGACAATTAGCCGCATTCGATGGCATTTACGCCCGGACGGATGTGCGGCAACAACAATAACAACAACAACAACAACAACAATAAAGCTGATATTTCTTAGTTTAGTAACGTTGCCTTATAGCTTCTTGGCCTTACGCAATAATTAATTACAGCCAGCGGGCCAGAAAAGTAGGTTTTCTACAATAAATACAAATTATTAAGTGTACAAGCAACAACAACAACAACAACAAAAAGCTCTAAAGTTGCAACAGTTTCTCGACTGCCAGAGGATGCCAGTATAATGTTTTTTCTACTAGCATAATGTCTATTTGAGCGTAAACATATTGAGCGGGGTGTGGGACGGTGGATATATAGACAGAGGAGGGCTTTCGATTTATGGAGGGTGCATTGAATGCATGTAAAATGCAATTTGCATTCTGCAATCCGCAAGCTTGCGGCAGCGGGAAATTTTAAGGTGCGATAATGTGAATACATAGATTATGATGAATAGGCATCTATTTATTTATAATAATAAACAATATGATCGCTTGGAAATTAAAAAGTCTTAAATGTAATATATTTCCGTCTTAAAATCTGAAATTTAATCGCTTATTTCGGAGAAGGTAATGACACTTATTTGCCATAAGGAAACCGTTTGACGGATCCAGTGTTGAGCTTAAAATATCTCCCAATATATATATATATATATATATATATATATATATATATATACATATATACATACATATATATATATATATATACATAACATCGAACAGTTAAGTAACTATATAGATATATATATATATATATATATTTCATTATATATATCATTTTACGTTTCGTTATATTTAATCTCTGATCCTACATGCTTATAAATAAATGAATAATCGTTATATTAAAAATATATTATTTTAAAATTAAATTTTTAATTTCTGAGCGAACATAATACTTATACTTATATACTTTTACTATATTTTATGACTTTTTAAATATATTATGTTTATTTGCTTTCATTTAATGTTTGTCTTATTTCCTTCTTTCTTTGCAGCTTAAGTTTTTTAAGGTCATTTACCATAGACAACAGAAGATGTTCTCAATAATTTGTTCCATCACAGCGCTTGTATTGGCCAGCACAATATGCCAGGCACTGCCAGATGTAAGTACGACGATCCTCAAATTGACCGTGTTACCCGATAATGCCTTGAGTTTGATATAGGCCTAGCACGTTTTCGGTTAATAACGAAGAACTCATCAATCAATTCAATGCAATAAACACTTTTTGGGGGGCACATGATAAGACAATGGCAGCTAACTGTTGTATTTGACAACAACAACAACGGCAACAACGGCAACAAATACTTGACACAAATGACCGCCAGTAACAATTTTCATTGTCATTTTGTGGCTCGCGTTCGCGTTGTGCGTAATTAGCATTTAAAAACATTATTTGTATATTAATTAAATTACAAAAACTATTTAAAGCGAGCAAAGACTCGGAGAGGATTCAGTTATATGACTCCGTCAGAGTCGCTCTCGCTCTCTCAGTCTCTCGGCAACACCCACAAGAAACAAATGGCATTGTTATTAATCATATACACACTTATATTAGTCTCTCTCTCTCTCTCTGTGTGTGCGTAGCTCTCATTGAAAAAACAAACGCAAGCTCAGCTTTTGTCTCATAGAAAAAGCTTCGCCAACGAATTATGGCCAAGGTCAAGTGTAAAAAGTTCTTGTAATTTTTTTAACTGAATTTCAATCGTTGCTTTTTTTACTGCTTTTGTATTCACTTTTGTGGCTTCTTTTGGTTTCATGCTGAGCTAAAAAACTTTTCACCAACCTCTTTGTTCTTTAATTCTTAAGCATTTGCTGGGGTCAAACCGATTTTAAATCTAAATAAAGCTTGTTCAACTGAATTGTTTTTGGGTGAACACGCTCAGCTAGTTGTTTGAATATTTGTATAGTCACGGAAATAAATTAAGTTCCTTACAAAATATTTAATTTGTTCATAACAAGAGAACCTCTCTATGTTTATCAAAAAGTGCATCAAGGGGATAAGTTATACATGTTTGAAAACTTGTAACTGAGTGGACTTGACTTTGGAAATCTGTTTTAATTCAAATGAACAATACTCAGTTCATGTTTCTGTCAAAATTTGAAATTTCTCTTGCTGTTTCACAGATCGATTGCTTCAAAGTGTATCCACCTATTGATAATACTTAAAAGTGATACCAATTTAATATTCTTCACCATTTCATTTTTCCTTCAAATTTAGTCTTGAGTCTAAGTTCATGCACATTTATTGCAAGCTCAGCATGTCAAGCATATTTTGGTGATTATTTGACACTTTAGACTTGAGTAGAGGTAACTTCACGTCGAGCAGTTCCTACTAAAGATACGAGAAATCATCTTCTAGGCCCAGCTGACTTCTGTCAAGAAAACATCTTTAATCTATTCCCTCCCAACGATATTTATGCACATCTTACTTTGTGAATCTGTTTGACATTTGCTCCAGCTTTATCTCAGTCATTTCCTTGACACCTCCATATGAGAGCAGAAATGTACTTTAGATGGTTATAGGCCCCTTCGTGTTTGAATACTACCGGAGATGCTGCTTGCAACACAGCTCAGACTGAGGCTCAGTATCCGATTGCAACTAAGACTGCAATTAAAGTTGACTTTTTTGCGTGGCTCGTTAAAGCAGCGGCAACAAGCGGCAGCATCATAAAACAAAAACAAAAACTATGACGAGGCCCTTCAAATCGCAACCAAGCATAAAAATTATGGAAACCAACAAGGCAAAGCTAAGACAACAACACGAAACTTGAAGCGATTCAAGAATCGATTCGTTTAACTGCATGAGTCAGCCGATTGCAGCTTGCAGTTGTTGTTATTGTTGGTTGATATGTATATATATCATGTGCTGTCAAAAAAAACGCAAACAAAATATGAAACTCCCTGCCACTTCCTCAAGCTATTCCTATTCATATTCCTTAGACATTGGCCAGGAATATATATCTATTGCAGTTATGCTCGGCCATATAAATTGAGCCTGTTAATTGTGAAATCAAGAACTTTGGCGTTTTAAATTTGTGTGGCACGATCTGTTGTTGTTGTTATTACAGTAGTTGTTGTTGCCTGTTGTTGTTGTTTTTGTCAGACATTGCTCGGGCTGCTTGTCACGCTTGACTTTTATCTTCAGGTTTTACTTTAGTTTGGGTCACGTTCCCGTCAATGGCCGAGTGTTACGTTAGCTGCATATATGCGAAAACGGGTGAATAAGCTCCCGAAGTTAACTTTTATTAAGAAGCTAAAGCGTCTAAAAGAGCTTAAGTCCCTGACAGCACACACAACTTTCATCGTATCGCTTAACAAAGATTTGCTCTCATTCTTTTTCATTACCTACGTTGAGATATAATATGATATTATTAGAGATCCTATCCAAATGATGGGATACCGACTGTTTAACCCTGTCTCAACCCAAAGGTCCACCGAACCCGAACCAAGCATTTACAAATGTCAAACACTTAACCCAGAATTAAAAAAAAAGACTCATCTTGAAATTGAAACTAGCACTTAAGACACTTTTAATAAAAAAGTGAATGTTAATGAAAAGTAATTAACAAGGCCAATTGAAAAGTACCTGTCGGAAAGCCAACCCGTTCGCGGCCAAGCGAAATGACTTTTCATTAGGCGCAGTTGAGATCCCGGCTAATATGCCAGCACCCTGAACTTTTCACACTTTGTTAATTTTGCCCACAAACAGAGAAAAAAGGTTAGAGAAGTGGAAAAAAAAAGATTGAAAATAACAACATGCTTGGCGCTAGCAGAAGCATTTGCTAATTTCCGCCGCTTGTCGGGCGAGGCAAGGTCAACACACCCAGCGAAAAGACCCCAAAAATGAAACAGCAACAGCAACTGGCATTATTATTTCTGTGCGTTGTTAACTTTAGGTTTGTCTGTCGCACAGTCCGACTGTCTGTTCATAGCTGAAGTGTATAATTTCTCTGTATGCGGTTGGTTAGCAAAAGGTCGAGTGACACTCTTCCGAGCGTTCGTATTGAGAGTGCGTCGATTTGGATGTTGACTTTGACCGGCGCAAGAAAATTGCACAACGCATGGACACAGTGGTTGAGATAAGTGTGTGTACGCCATAAACAGAGTATTGGCCTCCCCGTGGCCAATTTGAAGCACACTTTTTGCGCTAATATGGCGGCTACACCTTTTACTTTGAATCGGTGGCTGCCACAATGTTGTTGTTGTTGTTGCACTTAAGCATTCGCCGTCGTAGTCACCATGCCGGTTATATCGGGCGTATGAGTAATCACACAATTTCAGTAATTGCGCGCACAAAACAGCAGCAACAACCGGACAACCGAGCGGACAACCAGCAGCGAATAGCAACAACAACAACAGCTACAGCAGCCAGCTATACAAATTACAAACACAAATTTCACAATATCCGTCATTGCACCCCGTCGAAAATTAAAGCGCGCGCCGCTTGGACAAATCGCCAGCAGCCGTCGCCGTCGCAGTCGCAGTCGCTTATGTGAGCCATCGATGAATGATTAGCTGGGATTCAGCTCACTAGTTCACGGAATTATTCAGCTGTGACATCCAAGTGACAGCTACAAAATGGTTTTGAAGCGAACCGGTACCATGAACCGAACCTTAAATCTAAATTGAACTATTTCTGCTTCAGAATGAGACACTTTCTGGTTAGACCCGACCAGAAAGCAAACATTTCTACATTTCCAACCATTGCATTTAACCAACAAGCATTTGTTTTGTTCACAATTTAAATTGATTTAGTTTTCAGTCTCGTAGTTCGCTTTGTGATTCATTTGAATTGTGCTTTCCAGCCCTGATATTCAAGCTTAATCGCTGGCGCTGATCTTGTTCATCAAATGGCTTTTGCATAATTTGCTGTTAACTCCCATTAATTGCAATTAATTGGCAGCAAGGGCTGCCCCCCTGCGTCTCGGGCCGGCTAGCTGGTCAAGTGTTGATTGGTGTTTGGTGTTTGGGGTGTGGCCCCATTCGCCATTTGCATATTGCAAATCGCTGCAGGTGCAGCTTTCCAAATGTTCGAATGCCAGCCAGGAAGCCCTAAGACAATCACAGCAGCATCGTTCCATGTGCACACAGCACTCACATGCACTCATTCAACACTCATTTACACTCATAATTAAACTCAGAGCGAGGCACTCGAGACGAAACTTGGCGCGTCATCGGCAATGCTTTGGCTTCAGTTTCACTTTCAATGGGCAAAAGTTGCTCAATGTGCAGCAGTCCAGAGGCCCAGACTCGACCCCGACGAGCTGCCGTTGCGGCTCGTCGTGGCGTCTGTGCTGTGGTCAAAACACGTTTCAAATGAAAGTAAAAACTCTTTGGCATTGTCTGCGTCAGGTTTTCTTCGCTCTTTGCGTTTGTTCACCTGTCGCCTTTGTTTCACTTGCGCTCATTTCGCCGGCCATTTGTATTTCAATTAAAACAGAATTATCATGCTAACTGTTATACAACGGACAACAACATTTTTCAAAATAAAAACAAACAAAAAACAAACAAAAATTATTGTCTATGCTGCCTGCCTGACACTATGTTGTTTACCTTGTCTTCTTCTTGGCTGTTTATTTTTTTGTTTCTTCTTTTTGCTGCTGTTGTCGTCATTTGCTGCACAATTTTGTCTCATTTCGGTACAGCGAACCATTTGTGGTTTTATAAAATTCAAGAAATTTACCTAAATTGCCGGGCAAACTTGCATGTCACTTGCAGCAAGTTCGCTGTCTAAGTCTTTTGTATTTGCCTGCCGGCCTGTGCCAGTTGTTAAAGGAAATTCTAGTCTGCGTTGACCCTGTAACAAATTTTGTGAATTGACGATTTGTTGCTGCCGTTCGGAATGTAAACATGCGGTAAATATTTGAGCTTAGAAAAAATGGAAACGGAAATGGGGTATTCGATTTGGGAATATATTCGAGCTGAAAATGATTATTGAATAATGTATAAGTAATGCAATTTGGCGCAAAGAAGTAAAGGCTTTGTCCAAGGGTTTTTCAATTGATTTTAGTGGTACACGAAAACTATAAATCTACATGATTTTATTGACAAATAAAAACAGACTGTGATCAAGAGCAATTGCGTGCAATCGCAAAATCACATTTATAACAATAAAAAACAGAATTTGTTATTAATTAAAATATGCAATTATTGTGCTCTCAATACAAGTTTCATAGTTTCGAATACACGCATTGCCGATAACAGTACACGCAAACGGTTTTAGCCGTTTTTTTGTTTTTTGTTTCTTGGATTTCCTCAGGGTCCCCCCCCTGCCGCCCCATAGAAACCCGAACGGCATGCGACGATCTGACCCTGACCCACTTGCTGAAGATACTCGCGCGCCGCGACCGACAAAACGCGGCGCAGTTCAGTTGAGTTAGGTTCGGTTCAACTCGGCTCAGTCGTTAATCTCTAGACCACTTGAGTGCCCGTGCAAACAAAAACCGTATAAAACTCGAACCGTATAAACACTTGTGCCCATGGGTTGTGTTTATTAAATTGAATTATTGATAAATTTTCAATGAATACTTTAACAATTGCTACAATTTGTAGCAGCCAGCGGCTGTATCCATATGCATATAAATCAATAAATCTCTTTCTCTTTTTCTTTCTGCTTCTCGCTTCGTTAGTTGCACAAACAAATGTCGCCAGAGCAACTGCACTCAGTCTTCCATGTGGACACACACGATGCCGTGCCGCACTATGAGCTCGTCCAGCTGTTCCATCACACATCGCACGGCGGCCTACAGCGCAAGCGTCGCAGCATCGGCGAACAACTGGCAGCCACTGTGCAGCAAAAGCCACATCATGTCAAAAAGGATCTGAGCAAGAATGCCTACTATAGCGAGCTCAAGCACCAAGCGGCCGCGTCCGGAGCTGACAGCGCTAATCAGCTGCTTGGCGGCGATATCAGCTCCATCAAGTCGCACAACGTTTCCTTCAGCGCCTTCGGACGCCACATGAATCTCACGCTGCGCGCCACGCAGGGCCTTTTCAAGGGTGCGCCTCATGAGTTGCGCATGTGGTCGGTGGGCAGCGAACCAAATGCCACGCATGGCCTGGACTTGCAAGAGATTCTCGATGAGCAGGTAAGTTAAAAAGAGTTAAGGAGTTTTGTTATGGCTGCACCGAGCACTTACTTACAGCTGGCACTGTTTGCCTTGCGGTCCGAATTCTAATAAGATATTTGGCACTCCTAACTATGGAATTCGATAACCTTTATTGTTATTGCTTTGTTATGATTGTTTTTGTTATTATTATTGATCACGTTTTTTGTGGCTACCTTTTGATTGCTTGACTTAACTTTTGTTGCACTTTCATTGTTACATCATGATTTGTAATATTCATTGTCTTTGGTATTTTATTCGCGCTCTGGTATACGTTTTCCATACCCTGTACCCACTGCAAATAGCTGATATTTTTTAAATCTGGCAGAGTATACTATGTCATGTCCATCTGTCTGTCTGTCCAATTATATGGCTATATGAATGAGTCCAACTCAAAGTTAAAGATATTTAATATATTTCGATAAAGATATTTGTTGATTGTTGATTATTTATATATTGAGAACCTATTTGTGCGATTATATAGATTAAGTATACTCTGGACATTACCTTTTTCTGGTAGTCCCTCAAATTTTGGCTGTAGGGCATTGGTATATGAAGGACCAAAACGTATATGTTGCGGAATAACAAATACAGAGTATTGCCCAGTCGGGCACTCTTGACTAGAGAGTTAGTTTAACCTTATTTGTATTTCTCTTCAGCTTCGTCTTCCGCTTCAGGTAACCAGACTTTGCAGCTTACTTTGTGTCTTATCAGCATTCGCTTTAGTTGCGCTTCGTTCGCCGATCTCCTCTTGTGCTTTATTGTGTTTTTGTTGCATTGCTTGTATCTAATCAAAATTAATTGGCCGTGTGATAAAGAGATTAGAGCCATGCTCAGGTTGGGTTGGACTACTGTAGAGCTCGTTTTGAATTACATTTGCTGTTATGCAATTGGCTGCCACAAATAAATAAAAAATTAACCAAATTTTAAAGTCAAGGACGTGCGGAAATCGGCTTATATAAAGTAGGTAGCTAGATAAGCACACGACAGTTGTTGACACTAAAACGACAATTGATAGTCTTAAGAGCATGCGACACACATTATGTAAAGTCCATATAGCAAAGGCAATTATTATTAATAGGAATTTCAATTTGAGTGAATTGATTGATTAACATTTAATATGTTAAGCTGCATTTGACAAAGTAATATATATTTTTAACTGCACAAGATTGGTTTCTGCTCAATGCGAATATTTTGATTTCAATTTTATTTATGTTATATGCCATATACAGGAAAAACAATTTAATTTCCAATTAAAGCCCACACACTCACACAGAAAACACTTTTCGTGTCTGTGACTCTACCATGAACATGAACGTGACTTATTTCAATTATGAGTGCTCGCTTTCTTTTGCCTCGCTTCTATACACTTACTTTTTTGTATACAGTAGTTGGGTAGTATTTTTTATACAAACACATACATCATTATGCCCCATGGCAGGGGCGTTACCGCAAGTGCAAGTGAATTTTTATTGTTAATACTTACTAGGTTATTTCCATTTATTTGTTTTTGCTGGGCCTCGTTGGTTGTGTGTGAGATGGCAGGCTTTGAACAATCGATCGATTGCACTTTATTATACGTTTTACTTTCGGCGTTTATTACCAAATGGGATTTGTTGTAGGAGCGCGAGTCAGGGAGTCGGTTGTACGAATAAAAATGATTTTAATGCAAGACACAAACTTCGGAAATGAAAGTGAAATGTCATGTCAGACGACGAGGCAAAGAAAATAAAAAGATTGCCGGGTCTCTCTCGATCTTTTGGACTTGGTCGACTGTTCAGTGATTTATGTGTGATAATTCAACGCTAAGGCCCATGCGAAATGCGGAAAGATTTATGTGAGCCTTTTTATTGGAAGATTTTAGCTTATTTTTAATTAAAATGAAATGCGCTATGCTTTTATGCAACATGCCACAGAGTCACAGGCCCACGCACGACATTTTCCAAGTGTCTGCGTTTTGGCAATTATTTTTCGGCCAAAAGAAAAACTTTGACTCATGCCACAAAAAGCTGCACAGCAAATGGCCTCCAGTTGTGGACACTAACCGCAGCAACAGTTTTATATTTTCTGTATGAGATTTTTGTTTGGTAATGGCGGCACTTTGTCAGAGACCTTCCATCAAGAAACATTTATTCTAATTTGAGGCATGAATTGTTATTTTTTTGGCAATTTTCGTGGGTTTTTTTTTCGTTTTGGCGCATTGTTTGGAATTAACTTGAATTTAAGAGTCTAACCGCATGCGGAAAAATATGCTCGATGACCGTTTGAAAAACCGACCCTGTTTTCAAGTGTTAATCAAAAATAGTTTTGCTGTGAAAACAAAAGACTTAAGCCACAAACTTGGCAAGGGAAATTTATTTGGCAGCCGCAAAATTAAGCAAATTGCCTTAGATATTTTGTTGTTTTAGGGTCTTAAAAGTGAACTTTCAAATTTATTTAGACTTTAATTGCATTTTTTCTAGCACGAGTTGCACAGTCCTTTGCATTCAGCTGATGAAAATAAGATTCGTGCAGTGAAATTTCCGTTCAATATCTGGACAAACAGTGAAGGCGGCAACGCCACAAAGTTTTCTTTGTAATTTATTTCTGCTGCCACGAAAAATAAAGGCAAACACAGGCGTTGAACGGCACACCCACCGCCGCATTCAATCGATAGGCTCCGCCAAAGGTCAGGCGCAAAAAATTAAATAAAATACAGCATATAAATAAAGGTGCAGGTTTCCTCGGCCTGCCCCAATGGTAGCTAACTTAACGGGCATAACAAATTTTTGCAAACAGGAATATATTCGTGGTAGTTAAGGGGAAAATGGAAGTTCACACCACGAGTAACTGTCGTGTCGTGAACGCCCGTTTGATGAATATATTCAATAAATACTAAAATATTTGAAGGCTCCAAATCGTTAGAGAATTTAGTTTGCGAATTGAAGGTGTAAGCGCAGCCTTGGCAATTTATGGCATCCATGTGAAATACGTTTATGGAAATAAGCCCACAGTAGACTGCACTGGCAGACAATTGTCAGTAGCCTTTTATGGGGCAACAAAACCAGAACAAACCCCGTTCCTGGGCTTGGCCAGCGGCAACACGAGACGAGTAAGCCAAGTTTATGTTGCCGGGCCAACTGCCACAGTTACAATGTTGAAACAAAAGAATTGGCCAACAAATGTGCAGCACTTCGCGACCTGTGCCGAGGTGCTTCATTCTCAAAGAGCCGTACCCAAAAAAAAAAAAAAATGCAGCCTATTGAAAGGCAACTAATTGAGTTTTCAAAGCTGTTGCCAGCGCCAAAGCAAACAAAAATGCGTTTTTCATAGTGCATAATTAAAATGCTATTAATGCAATTGGTGCAGATTTCACAAGCAGCAGCTCCCCAACGAAATACATACGTATAATGCATAAACGAACCACTAACTGGAGTACCTTGTCATTTAAAACGACTTCAACTTGTATTTGGGTGATTTTGCAGCGGTGCGAGGCGCCGAAAGGCTGCTTGATTAATGAGCTTGTGATTATGGCCAGCGTTTGGCAGTTGAATGAATTTAAAATTAGCTCACTGTCCCACTGTCTCCCACTCGGAAAAGTCGTCTAGTCGCCGCATAGAAAGCAGCCGAGGCAGCAGTTGCCGTCCTCGTTGACTGCATTTCGCTAGAGTTTTTTATTTCTCTCTGGTCTGTGCCGCTGCAATCGGCGGTTGCATAATGCTCCCGTGTTGTTGCCTGACAGCCTTTGTTGCTGGCACTGGTTGCCGTTGTTACTGTTGGCCATGCTCATGTTGCAGTTATTGTTAACGCTGTGCGGCTTGTTGCTTTGTAGCTTAGCAACAGCAACAACAACAATCAGTAAACCCACAAAGTCGATCTCGCTGCAGTCGAGGTTGTTCAATCCCTTTTTTTTTTTTTGCGGCTGCTCAAAGTTTGCACTACAAAAGTACGATTACAACTTTGAGTATCCGTAACGAGCGGTCAGACGCTAGACATATATTTTCGTCTAGCTCTTAGCCTTTGCCAAGAGATGTCTGTTTTAGGAAATTTGCCTATCTGGCGGCCACAAGGGAAAATTTTCATGAAAGTCTAATGCAAGCGCGGAAGTTTTTCGAATTTTGAGTGATCTTGTAAAAAACACTTTGATCATAATCCAAAGTAGCCTTCGTTTCGCTTACAGAAATAATGGAAAAGCAATCAGGAAGAATACAATGAAGCTGAAGCTTAATACTTAAGATCTAATGTAATGCAATCTAATGCAAGCTTTTTACTTATTTTATACTTTTTATATGCACTATTTGTGATGTCTGGGCTAGACCCGTCTGATTACTAATGCTTATTCTTTAAGCATCAAATCATCTTTTCCTAGCACAGACAAAGTTACACAGCTTAAAAGTCACTGATCTCACAGTTTCGTCTTCAAGTTGAGAAAGGTTTGCTTAATTATTTTTAAACTTAATCTTTACATTTTAATTCCGCAAATAAAAGCTAAGATTATTTGAGAATATTAATATTTAAAGTCTTTCCGAAAATATGCGGCTAAGGCGCTTATTCATGCTGCATGCTGCTTAAGCTAACAGGTTATCCTTGAGCCTATTTCAGAGCCTCTTGGGCATCTACTAATGACCTTGTTGGGTAACCAGAGACCCATGTTTAAGTTGGTTGAAATAGAGATGTTTCCATGCGTTCTTATGTCTTGAATATGCATTTAAATTCATTATTAAATCTTTACATACAAATTTAAATGATTCATGATTTTTATACTTTGAATAACGCACTCAATCTAAAAATGCTTGCCAATGTGTAGCTCAAATTTTAAGAACATTTTCCCGGAAAAGCCGTGCTACCTTATTTGAAAAAGTTTGATTCGATACACATTATTACTAAAATGTTTACTTTACTGAAAATTAATAATATCAGAGATATACCTTCAAAAACCGCTTTACTCTCTTTCATATTTCTGTCTACCTACTTTTCAATTATAGAAAACATATATATATGTTAATCTGTTACCTTCATTGGAACGTATTATCTTGACTGGTGTTCACATACGTAATTGTCTGCGGCAGTTTATGCTGATACGTTAAGCTCGAGCGAACAATTGAAAAAATCTGACATAATCATAACATTGATCATCGCTGACCGAATGAAATGTGTAATTAGCCAAATAATGGGCAGACAATGAGACTCTGTGGCCGTTGCCTAGGCCCACAAAGAAACAAAAAGCCTTGGCATTGTGACGGCCAGAAGACCAAAATCAAAACAAACAAACAGCCTGCACTGAAATCAAGTCAACTGTGCTGTGTATTGTGACTGGAAGCGTATCGGCTTGTGCCTGTGTCAGTGCCATTGTGTGTGCAGTGCATAATGGTGCGTAATAAACACGCACACCAAGTCTGACACACACACAAATAGACATCGATAAATGGAAATCATTATGCGCGCGTCGAGGCGGCAGCCAACGCGTCGTATGCGTAACCATCAAAAGAAACGACGCCCACTCGGCCACATCCACGACACTGTCGCTGTCGATGTCGTTGCTAATGCGTTAATTGTCAGTTAGCGTGGTTAAATGGCTTGTGGATTTATGTGCGTAGTAGCCGACCGAAAATCTCTTGGATTGGGATATATCAGCGTGGGTGTCACACACACACACACGTTACTTCTAAGGCGACGGCGCTTTCATTTCCAACGATGGCCAATTAAGTAACCAGCATGGATATAATTCCAACCCGAATAGGCATTTCACATTTAAGTTGCCAGACGTTCGCACAAAAGTTCAAAGGCTAATTTTCACTTCGACAAGTTCGTTGCCTAAGTCATTTGATTAGATGTGCGCCTTTTGGGCCGGCTTATCTTTCTTTTTTTGAAATGATTTGCATTTGCCAAATTAGCTATGAGAAATTTAGAGCGCTGCCCGGAAGTAGCTAAGAGCGAACCTTTTACTTTCGTGTACTCTCTTTTTGGGAAACATATAATACTTGTTTCATTAGGTTTGACTTTTGTTGCTGTTGCGGTACAAGGCATTTTGGTAGGCCATCAAATTAGCTTGCGTTTTTCTGGAAATAACTATATTATCTACCACAACTTTCTCGACCTCACTCTATTCACAATTTGTATAGCATGTACCCATTGAAAATGCGGGAGAGAGGGTATCATGTCTTTGTGCAAATGTATACATCAGGCAGAAGCATTACTGACCCGATAAAGTATATATATATCTAGCCATGTCCGACTGTAGGATTGCGTATAGTCGCCTTGAGAATTTCATAATGAACCTTTGTGAAGGGTATCTCATAGCCAGCCTCTTTTACTGTATGGCCGTGGTAGAGTAGTTGACTTGCCTACTTGTGCTTCAAATGATTCTCTTAATGACACCCACACATCTGTCTGTTAGAAAGCTACTTTTTAAGTAAGTGTTCATTTTCTTTTTGACCCACAATCTTTCATCTAATTGCTGCCAGCGTATTTCTCTCTATAAGCCGTTAATGAGGCGCAATTTATAAAAATAATATGCAAAATACTTGTAGAAAGGCAACAAATTGTATGGCGCCAATTTAGCTAAAAAGCCCTTGGGGCCAGTCGGACACTCGAAAGTATTTTAGCTTCCAGTGAGCCAAAGTAAGTGAAATAGCCGCAGTAATTCAGGCGTGTGAAGTGCGATTTACATAACCACCCAACGGCAGAGCCCACATTGAAATTGCACAAGCATTTTACAGATGGCAGATCGTATGTGTGGGGAGCGATCTGCATAATGTCTTGTACCCATTTGTAATTAAAAATTTACGATGTCGTTAATAAAAAAATTGACACCAAATGCGAGACAGCGACTGCAATTTACAATTCACGGCTTACAATTCATACCTCACTTAACGTTGGCTAATTAAAATTGCGGCAAGCCGCAGCAGAACATATTCAGCCAAAACGAGCACAATTGTCAACTAACAAAGGAAATTGGTCCAGTGGCATGCAAAGTTGCTTCAAGAGCATTTACAAAAAAAAAATAAATAAATAAACAACAACACGAGACAAACAAAAAATTGAAATAATACAAAAATAAAACAAAAGTTCGGTGCTGCAAACGAGTCTCGGCCACGATTAGTGGCCACCGGGCACCAACGGTTCATAAATATGGCCAAACACTTGGCCAATGGCTGCAACGGTGACAAAAGCAGCAAAAAACTATGGACAACAAGTGCCTTGATTCTTGGCAGTTGGCAGCTGGATTAGAAATACAGAAATACTCAAATACGTGAGCCATTTGGTGTGGGGGTCGCTCTTGTTGCTTTGAACTTATTTCCACAAGGTCGTTAGCCAAGACATGTCAGCCAGCCCGTTAACAACAACAAATTAAGCCATAAATGCTTGTTGCACATGAAAATTGCTTTTTATTTGCTGCTGCGATTGCGTGTCAACACGTTTCGCGGTCAACAGTAAGACACCCAACTGCCACGCCCCACTCTTCAAGTGCCAGACAGCTCAGTGGTTTGATTAATTGTCAGCCAAGTTGTGAAAATTGCCTAAAATTTACCTTTTAATTCTAATTTACTCAATCTTCCTGAAAAAAAAAACTAGAAAATTTGAAGAACATGACATGGCTCGTACTAAATCGGGTAATGCTCTCATTTAAATAAAGGATGTACTTTGTTTTAATTTCTTTCGATTATGAAGGTGTACATAATCTCTTTTATGGTCTTTTTACGTAACCTATTCCCAAACGTTTTGCGGCCTTTAGGCGTAATATTATTGCATTCAATTTTATATTGTGAGTTCGTTTCAATTTGTTAACCACATCTTCCGCTCCTGGCCGATTGTTCAGTTAACCCCCAGCTGATTTATGGCCTTTGCGGCTAGTCCGCTGCTTTCATCGCATGTGGGCAACTTTTTGGCCAGTGGCTATTTGGTCACTTTGCAGTGACTTTGATTTTGGCACTTGGCTTAGTTTTATGGCATGTTTTTCGTACATATATATTATGGCTGCGGCCAGTTATGAAAATGATTTATGCTTGTAATTTGATAGAGCGCCGCGGACAAGTTTTGTGTCTCAGATTTGGCGGCCTGGTCCACGATACGCGATACGCAGTCAATGCCAAATGCTGATGTCAAGTGTCAGATTACATTTATTTCAATATTTATTACAGAATTAATGGGCAGGCGCAGCGGCAATTAATTTAATTAGTCGCACATTTGATTTCTCAGTTCACAGTGAACAAATTTTGCAAGCTGAAAGCTTAAACACCATGCTAATTCCAATGAAACACATTCCCCCTGGGCCTTGCACAGAAATTTGGCAACCAGCATCTAAGCCAAGTTGCCTTGAGTCGAAAAGTGCAAAAAAACAAGCCGAATGTCGATGTCAAAGGATTGCAACAAGAACAGAGCGCAACTGAAACCAGATCAGCAGCCAGTTGGCCAAATGTCAAAAGCTTAAGCTTCAGTTGAAGCCACGGCGGCGCAGTTTTCATGGTCAGGCTCAGAGAACAGCACGGCACACACGGCGCATGAGTGACGTGCATGTTGAGGCGTCACATTTGCTGACCAAGTGCATAAATCAAAACCCCGCTGCCGCATATCCCACGCAGCTAACAGCACTCCGAGCACGCCGAGCTCGAGCTTCATCTCTCCCTCTCCAAGAGTGGCTCTTAATCTCTGTCCATGTCTTTAAGTCTGTCTCTATCGGTTGCCGGCTGTCTCCTTCTTTTGCTGCTGGCGCATTTAATTATTATACAGCTGCCTGTCCAGCAAACAGAATAACAAACCAGCATTTTTTTATGTTTTATAAAAAATTGCTTTACATTTAGTTCGGCTAAAGCCGCGGCTTGGTTACTCTTGAGCTTGCAGTTGATTTTTGGAATGCTTGGAATGCGACCGTAAGAATTGATTTCGTTGTTAATTGAATGTCGGCGGTTAGCAAATCAAATTAAGCTAATATCCCGCGTCGATTGGCTCGCTATCAATTACAATTTTATCGTCAAACTAACTCTCTTCTTTTGTTTTCTTGCAGCATGACAAGCATGAGATTGGCGAGGTTTTCCAAGATGAGCCAAATATGGCAGCGATTCTGATGCGTCGCCACATGGAAACGGGCGACCTGATAATGGTAAGTGTCGAATTCATGTTGCCACTTATGCGTCCCAGAAGGTCAACACAATCAATAAAGGTGCAACAAGAATTTCAATTAGCACGCCCCTGACGCTCCGCTCTTAAGATTTTTATGGCTTCATGGATTGTTGTTATGACAGGCGGACTATTGTTATGGTCAAACTTGGACATTACATTGGCTTTGTGCTGGCCACCAAAATGCGGTTGGCTTTTGTGTGTGTGTGTGAGTCTGCGTGTGTATGTGTATGGCTGTGGGCTGCACTTGGGGCAGTTACAATTAAACGCCTGCCACTTGCGAATAATTTGCGGATTTAGACAATTTCTGCTGATTAAGCATTAATTTATATCGCAATATTGCGCTACGCTCGGCCACCAAACGACCAGCCGTAATGTGAATTGCATGTCGATCGACATTAGACATTGTCAAACGGCCAGCTGCAATAACAACAAAAGCAACAATAGCAACAGCAACAACAACTTAAAGAAACACTCACGAGTTGTCGTCACAACCAAATCGAGCACCTTGACCAATTTGCTAAAGTGAAAACTCAGATTACGTATGGGCGATATGCTTTGAAATATGTCTTATAATTGAAACTACAAATGCAAAGATATATTTAGAAAAAATATCAGACTTGAGAGAACTATGTGGAGCTTACGCCCGACACAAATACCAGAAGCAAAGAAAAGGCATAACAAACTTTATTTAAATATGTTTGTCATGGCGTTTAAAATTCAGGAAACAGTTGCCTTCTACTTCTTGGACATAAAATATCCATCAAATATTTGTATTCAATTATGCAACTACATACAACATACATCATTAATGCAACAAAGCCTCAAAATGTTCTTTTCGCTTCCTCACATAAACGCCAACTCGTTGAAGGTCAATCTTGCCGTCGTCGCTTAGTTTTTTAACAACATTAGTATTTAGCAGATAATAAGTTGCTGATAAATTGCCTCAGCTTTTAATTATAACACAATTGGCAATTAACATTTAACCTGTGGCGGAAATTAAGCTCAACACACTTGGGTGTAAAGCCTCTCAGTGCAAATGTTTGTTGTGTGAACAGAAATAAGTGGAACACAACCAGCTAAAAAATCTGCAAAAAGGAAGTAAATCGTTGTTAATTTGGGAAATTCTAGCGCAAAAAATTCTGATAACAATATTCAAGCTAATGACAAGTTCCCAATGTGTTCAAAGACTTAAAACCTTTTAATTGTTAGAGCAAAATGTTGAGATATGCATGAAGACCGAAGCAAATGTCACAAAGCCAAAATTTAATAATCAATAACAGACAAAGCTAACAAAACATTCATGGTAATAGGGTCAATCGAACCAATCAACCATCAGCGTCAAATGGCCAATAAACAAGGCTTCAACTGTGCCGGCTGCTTCTTTACAAAAAATATATTTATATACTTTATATGTATATATTTTTTGGCAATTAACTGACGTGTGTTTATTTTTAATTTGTTAAACAAAAGTTGAAAATGTATTTTTGATAATAATTACACAGACAAGTTGGCCAAGCAGTCAGGCAATAAAAGGTCAAACTGCAATGTCTGGGCCCGGCTTGGCCGACTTGGCCGTCTTGACCGACTTGTTATGGCCAAGTGCGAGTTGCCAGGCCACAAGCCGCTTAGAAAAATTGAAAAAGATTTAACAATTCATAAATAATATGTGAAAAATGTTTGCTCGCTGACATTTTGAAGTGCAAAGCGGCGAAAATTTCGCAAGAATGATGCAGCTGCTCGGCCAGACATTCGCCGGTTAGCCGATTGGCCGGCCGGCTGCCCGCCTGCCTGTCTTCCGGCTTAGCTTTGACCTTAAACGGCTGATAAATATCAAGAAGCCAACCTGTAATTAACAACACCACAAAAAAATCGACAGAAGATGTATGCGGCAGCAACAATTGCGCAATCTTTGGATTGGTCAAATAAAGTTGACGCTCTGAAGACTCTCGGTTATTTTATGGACTCTTAATTAGTCCCACCGAATAGTTGGTACCATAACATGTGCGTACGACTGTGGTCACAGTCTTAATTATTGACTGCAGTGTGTTTTCTTAAAATATTTCAGACATTTTGTCTTAACTATAGATTGGCTAACAGCCGCATTCTTGGCATGATATGTCACACAGTGGGGTAAAAGTAAAACAATATTACGCATATAAATCTTTAAATCGCAAATTACTAAATTCAATTTTAATTTCGTTTTAAGCATTGCTTAGAATTAGAGATTTGTGGTGATACTGCAATATCGTAACCACAGTGCAAACAGAAGACTTAAGGCACAAACTTGCTGGCAAGCATATTGCCCAACTTGGCGACAGAAATTGGTCACTCGCAATTGCTCTTGTTGTTGTTGTTGCTGCTGCTGCTGCTGTTGTTGTTGTTGCACTCTAGGCTTGTTTAATTATGGCCCAGTCTGAGGCACAGCACACAAATTGGCACAACTCTTGGCACGCACTATTTGTTGTTGTTGCTGCGACTCAATTACATAAAAAGTTACAGAAACGTTGCCGCCAATAGCCCTGCCCCCAACCCTCTGGCATTTGAAGCTGTGGCGAGCAAAATAAAAATAAAAAACGGCAAAAGCCACACCATTTCAAATGGGCAGCAGCTACGACCATTAAGTTACACCATGGGTGGGGCAGTTGAAAGGGAAACGAGGCAACGGAATCGCCCCAATTTGGCCAAGGCACCTTGCAAAGTAAACAAAATACTAAAAGACAATCGTTTTAGAGTTTGTTGTGCTGTTGAAACACAATATACTATTCAAAATAAAACCGAAGGGACGTGTGTATATATAAAGGCAAGCTGAAAGAATTTACTGAGAAAATTTAGGCAACATTTGCCAATTATAATGTAATAAGCTTCTACTCATTGTCATATGTAAGCACATTGGTTAAAAAATTTGGCATTGAATTTTTCAACATTCAAAATATTCGCTCGGCTGCCCCTCGATTAACACAATAATCCCAGACAAATGAGATATCGTCTGACGAAAACAATATTCATGGCTAATTAGACGCACTCTCCGGCCTGCAGCCTTTTGGCCAACATCGTTGGGCGTTTTTTAAACAAATGTGTGTGGCAATTAGTTGCGCAAATATCCAAATTGATGACAATAAATTTGACGCTTGGCGCCCGTTAATTGTTTAATACAATTACAAAGTGCATCGCACTGTGGCAAAGTGCGTTGAAATTTATCAAAAATGAATCGAGTTCAAGGACAAACGCACAACAAGACGTCAATCAACATCAACAACAACACTGGCCAACAAAGCGCAATCATAATTTTTCTGCTAGCCAGCCTTAAATGTTTACAGCCAACAAATGGCCTGTGCCATTTGCTGATAAATAAAGCATTTTGGGGCCAACTACAAATATATATATATATATATATATATATACAACCAAGCTTGATTAATGCTAATTGCGCCAAATGTCAAGCCAACAGCTGCCCGCCAGTTTTTGTTTAAACAAATTATTCAAAAGGTCGTGCAGCAGATGCAGCCTGTACCCTGCTCCAAGTGGGTTTTAATCTTATATATCCGTTAGTCTGCCAATTAACAGCCCCATAAACATATCAGACGCCATTTGATGATCTCAATTATCTTCAAATTCGCTCAAAGGCTATGTAGGCATAAAGTAGATTTTATTATATTCATCATGCTAGGCACGAAGTAGAATTGTGTCGTTCCATTGCAAAAATTGTTAATCGCTTATGTATAACATTGATTTAGTAAACGATTCCCAAAAGCCTACAGCATACTGATCAAATATGACACTGATTCTTGGCATAAGACTTTAAACTTTTTAAAAACGTTTAAATATCTGTAAATTTCAATAATGTGTCAATATATTAATGTACCTGGATTTCTTAAGATACGTTTTTTCTTACAATATTAGACATCACTTTTCCACCCATATTCCATTCAAAGGGAAATGTATAAGTACGCTTACTATCTTAGCCCAATGGCTTGGGTTTTCAGTCAATAAAATCGAAAATATAATAAAGATTTATTTGTAATTTGTTTGCCAATTTTTATTGGTGAAACACATCATACATATTTCATATTGCAGAGTGTTGAAATGAGTTTAATTCTGATTGAATGGAAATAAAAATGCAGCCATCCAACTTTATTCCTTTATTTTTGATTAAAAAACTTCCAAAAATGTCTTTGAAAATAAGTTTCAACCCTTTACCACGAATATTCCACATTTACAGCCGGAATTTTCCATTACCAACTCTTAGTACTTATGCAATTACTTCAAATGGAGAAGTCGGCTTCCTTGCCGTTGTCACTTGGGCTGTGCGTTGATCAGTCAGTCTGTCAATCAGTCAGTCTGTGAGTCAATCAGTCAGCACACAGTTTCCCTTTTATAGATAAGTTACTCATAAAACCAGAAATAAAGTTGTTCAGATAATACACGAAGTACCTGATATTTATCATTACATAACGCGATTTCTTAAATAACATTATGGAGCTCTTCCTTTTTTTGGCTGGCATTCGAAGACTCCGCCTTTGCCTTTAGCGCGGCTTCATTGTGTTGCCCTTTGCATTCACTTTGACATTTCCAGAGGCAACGTTAAAGATCAAAATGGATGTGCAGCGAGCATTTATGCCATTTGATCAAATAACCACAAGCACAACAGTAAATAGCAGCAAGAGAATCAACAACGAGCCCAATTATTAGGTAGCTGAGCAGCACGTTGCCATTTTGGACACGGGTCTCGGCGTTTTGGGCAACTCTATTAGATACACGCACATCAGCAGCATCAGCAGCAGCATCATTAAGAAGCCTCAAGTCTTTTGGCAGCAAACTAGTTTTTAGTTGGCTGGCGAGCTTCTTCATCGTCACCTTCTTAACAAATTGTTTACTTGGTGCTTGCTGTTTCAGCCTTGATATTTACACAGAGTTGAACGTGTCTCTGCCTCACAATTTCTAAGTGTATTTAAATATCGCGCATACTTATAGACAAACTGG